ATGGGAACCCACAAGGTTTGCGGGAGGATGATCAGCGTAGGCAGGCTGGTTAACATTCAGGAATAAGCAGGTACTGGATGGTTACAGATGGACCATCAGCGTAAACTGATTGGACAGCAGGCAGATGAACAGTGGAGTCAGACAAGCCAAGTTGGTAGCAGACAATCAGAATATAATTAGACAAAAGAATGGTCAGAAAGCCGGAGTTGATACCAGATGAGTGGATCCATGGCAGAAAGAACAGGCAGAAGCAAAAGTTCAAATAAAAGCCAGAGTCAGGAGTTCAAGGATAATCAAGGCAGGCCGGGTCAGTAACTAGTAATCAGATGCAGGTAGCAGATCATAGGTCTCATGGGAATGCTGTAGACAAGACAGTACTGGACCTGAGCAGTGGCTCAATTTAAGTAGCCCATCTGGCACCAGCGTTTATGAGAGATGCATGTAGTTGTGCTTGCGCATGTGCATGCACTCTTTCTCTCTGTGTGTGACTACGTGCCAGCCCACAGGGATTTTGAGGCTCCATTGGTGTCTTGAGGCACCATTTTGCATGTTGGCAAGCCTCTCTTCCAGGGCAAAGGGAAGGCCAGACCAAATAGAACAGCATGCAAACCAAGAAGCTGTGGGTCAAGAGGGCTTTGCTTCATAGTGTAAGTAGCCATCAATATACAATATTACTTTATTAGCTTGTGAGCTGCTTATCTGTACTGGACTGTCAAATCAAAATGATTCTTTTAAAGGTATACTTCAATCAAAAATGAAAAAAAAAAAAAAAAACCTTTAGATGTATAAAAGGAGCACAAACTGAATGTGGACTTAGATTAAGGAAACTGAATGCTTGACTTTAGCTTAGTTGCTGTGTTTACTGGGTGGCTTCATAAACTCTCTGAATACTTTCGCTTGTCTGGAATTGATCTTGTAGAGTTATTACTTTAAATTGATGTTACACCTTCTACAGTGTTGACTGCAAACTCCTCTTTCTGCAATTCATTCTTCATGTTTAAAAAGTATTAGGCAGCTAAATTGTCAGTAGGCAAAATTTTACCTTGATGCAGATAGAGCAAAAGGTCAAATGCCATTAAAAACCTTTCCATATATTCTCAGCATGGACTGAGGACAGTTTCAAATATGATAATTTAAAAATGATGGCAGAGCCCTGGGACCATCCTAAAACTTATCAAACAAAATGTTGACTTTTAAAGTCAAACTTCTGAGTAGTGATGGGCCAAACACCCCCTTGTTCGGTTTCACGGTCGAACATTCAAACCTAACGGCCATGAACTTTGAACAAAATGAAAGTCTATGAGATTCAAAATTGTAAATTAAAAGGTGCCCATTTTGAAGGCTTATATGCAAGTTATTGGCCATAATAGGGTTATGGGGACTTGGGACATGAATCAGAGAATTTTTTTTTTTTTTCAAAAAGTACTATTTCTAAAAGGGCAGTCATTTTTCATTGCTTAAAGTAAAAAAAAAATCCTTTAAATATCATGCCTGGGGGGGGGGGGTCCCCTTAAACTACCTGCCTAACTAGTTGCACATCTGCACAATGTATAGAACCTGCTGCAGCAGGACTGACTTTTTTTTTTTTAATTTCTGATAGGAAGGTTAAGAGGGACCCCACAGTAAAAATCTTTTTTTTAAAAGTGCACGGGGTTCCCCCTAAAAGCCATACCAGGCCTTCATGGCCTGGTAGGACTTTGAAGGAGAACTCCACTCCCAAAAAATTATTGAGAAAAGGATAGGGTCCCCCTAAAGGTGGGAGACTAACAAATACCCCCCGCCCTCCTGAACGGCATGCTTTGGGGTAAGGGGGCTCCCCCCAAAGCACCTTGTCCCCATGTTGATGGGAACAAGGGCCTCTTTCCCACAATCCTGGGCTGTGTTGTGGGGGTCTGGGGGGGGGGTGACTTATCGGAATCTGGAAGCCTCCTTGTGAATGAATATGGAGTACATAGTACCCTTACCCATTCACCAAAAGTGTAAAATGTGAATAAAAAACACAATTTTTGACAAGTCCTTTTATTTAAAAAAAAAAAAAAAAAAAAAACCCCAAAAAAATGGTTCCATCATTGTAATCCATCAATCACAGCTTCAAGTGTTGGCATGATGACGCCGACTCACCAAAATAAAAAAAAAACCCGCTGAGCACTTTCCACTATCTGACATTTTCCGGTCAGATGTAAACAAGTGGGCGGAGCTAGTGGTGATGCCACTGCTAGCTCCACCCAATTGCGCTGTGATTGGCTAAAGCATTGCACCTGACCTGTATGATTTTCTGATTGTGTGTATGGGGCTTTAGCCTTGGATACATATGTACAGTTGCAAGAAAAAGTATGTGAACCCCTTGGGATTATGTGGAGTTTTGCATGAATTGGGCATAAAATGTGCTCTGAATGTCATCTAAGTCACAACAATAGAAGAACACAGTCTGCTGAACATAATACTACACAAACATTAGATGTTGCCATGGTTTAATTGCACATAACATGTAAACATTCACAGTGCAGGGAGGAAAAAGTATGTGAGGCCCTAGCTTAATGACTTTTCCCAGAGCTAATTGGAGCCAGGAGTGAGCCAACTTTGACTCCAATCAGTGTGATGATATTGGATGTGTTTCTGACAGCTGTCCTGCCCTTAAAAAACACACATCTGTTTTGGGTTTACTGGTTTCAAGAAGCACTGTCTGATGTGAACCATGCCTTGCAGAAATGAGCTCTCAGAAGACCTACGATCAAGAATTGTTGACTTGCATGAAGCTGGAAAGGGTTACAAAAGTATCTCCAAAAGCCTTAATGTTCATGTGTCCACGGTAAAACAGACTGTCTACAAATGGAGAAAGTTTAGCACTGTTGCTACTCTCCCTAGGCGTGGTCGTCCTGTAAAAATGACTGCAAGAGCACAGCGCAGAATGCTGCATGAGGTAACGAAGAATCCCAGAGTGTCAGCTAAAGACCTACAGAAATCTCTGGCACATGCTAACATTTTTGTTGACACATCTACAATAATGAAAACATTAAACAAGAATGGAGTACATGGGAGGACACCACGGAGGAAGCCATTGCTGTCCAAAAAGAATATTGCAGCACGTTTGAAGTTTGCAAAAGAGCACCTGGATGTTCCACAGCACTACTGGCAAAATATACTGTGGACAGATGAAACCAAGATTGAGTTGTTTGGGAAGAACACACAACACTATGTGTGGAGAAAAAAAGGCGCAGCACACCAACATCAAAACCTCATCCCCACTGTAAAACATGGTGGAGGGAGCATCATGGTTTGGGGCTGCTTTGCTGCCTCAGGGCCTGGACGGATTGTTGTCATTGATGGGAAAATGAATTCCAGAGTTTATCAAGACATTTTGCAAGAAAACGTACGACCATCTGTCCACCAACTGAAGCTCTGCAGAGGATGGGTGATGCAACAGGACAATGACCCAAAGCATACAAGTAATTCAACAAAACAATGGCTGCAACAGACAGAATACGCCTTCTGGAGTGGCCCAGTCAGAGTCCTGACCTCAACCCAATTGAAATGCTGTGGCATGACCTTAAGAGAGCGATTCACACCAGACATCCCAAGAATATTGCTACACTGAAACAGTTTGTGAAGAGGAGTGGTCCAAAATGACTCCAGATCGTTGTGCAGGTCTGATCTGCAACTACAGGAAACGTTTGCTTGAGGTTATTGCTGCCAAAAGGAGGGTCAACCAGTTATTAAGTCCAAAGGTTCACATACCTTTTCCTCCCTGTACTGTGAATGTTTACATGTTATGTGCAATTAAACCATGGCAACATCTAATGTTTGTGTAGTATTATGTTCAGCAGACTGTGTTCTTCTATTGTTGTGACTTAGATGACGTTCAGAGCACATTTTATGCCCAATTCATGCAAAACTCCACGTAATCCCAAGGGGTTCACATACTTTTTCTTGCAACTGTATGTATGCTTACAGATAACAAAAGACAAAGCCTACAAAGTCTGTATTCAGAATGATGGTTGGTGTAGCATGTAGGTGATACTATACTGTAATTTTACAAATTGCAATCCTTCTTAAACCCTGTACACATAGGCCACATATCAGCTGGTAGTAGCTGGTTCAGCAGAAACCATGTACAGGGGCAAAAGGCCCAAAGGGGCATGACTGAACAACATCTGCCAATCGGCATCCGATCAGCGCTTTCAGCCCATGGCTGCGAGTGCTGACCAGTGTGTTCTGGCAGGTGGCTGTGCCCCTGTCAGAATACAAATGCTCAGCGGGAAGATCACTGTACTAACATTGGATAGTTAACACAGCGAGCTTCTCTCGAGGTCTGCAGTTTTTTTGTTCAGCCCGCTGGGGGCTACCTTAACTACATTTATAAATTCAGAATTCTGATTTTTAATCTCAAATTAATCTCTTTGGTTTTTAATCTCATAATTCTGAGTTTGAGACTCAAAATTCTGTTTTTTAATCCCTGAATTCTAATTCAGTTAGGGTGGCCCCAGGGCTATCTTATTCTATTGTACAGTATACTTACATTGGCCCAGTTTGACAGAATGTATAGTAAAATGACAGAATGTCTAGTAAAATGACAGAATGTATAGTAAAATCTCATACCTAATGAACCCCTGGGGAAGATGAAAATCATTGCAGCAATGATAACCATGATCTTTTGCTGGGGTTCAGGGGTCTCTCACTGGACATTGCTGCCATTCATAGAACACCATGTAATTTTTACATTGAATACAAGACATTCTCTGATTAGACGAGGTTGACATCATGAAATCATAAGATCTCTCCACCTGTTCTAATTAGGGAACATCTTGTATTAATTGAAAAAATTGCAAGATGTTTTATATGTTCTATATAAGTTCTATATTCTGAGCAAGTGAGCCTCTGTGGTCAGTGTGCATAATGGAAACCTCTTGCACAGAACCTCAGCAGGACTGGGAAGATCAGGGCTATCACTGTAATAGCGCCAACTACTGCAGGGATTATTCAGCTTCCCCAGTGGCCTATCAGGCAGGGGCGGACTGACCATTTGGGAACTCGGGCACTGCCCAAGGGCCCAGGGTCAGTAGGGGGCCCCATGAGATGCCCCTGGTACCTTTCATAGGCTTTTTTGGGTGTGGTTTGAGTGTGTGAAGAGGACACATGATCCCCTATTGCCCGGGGGCCCCATGAGTTGTCAGTCCACCCCTGCTATCAGGTATGTGATATGCACACTTGCATATTATTCCTGGAGTTTGGTGGTGATAGCTCAGCATTTCCCAGTTTCACCCATATGCTCTGGCCATAGAAGCGTGTCTCATAATTTCTGTTGGATTTTTAATTCATTTCATACATACAGAGTAGATTTAGAAATACACTTTCACAGCTGCAACAGAATAAGACATGTTACAAGATGAATGATGCTGAGTAAGGGTCATTAGATACAGGAGTCCCTCAAAGATATAGGTTGCAAGTGAAACATGGTAATATCTAGTTCATTAAAACTAGAGAAAGTTAACGCATACAGGAATCATAGCAACATGGTCTTTCAACATGGAAAACCCTCTTGGATGCCCCAGGTTTATAGAACCCGGAATATTACCCTGAAGTCATGAAAATGCCCTTGCAAACATACGAAAACTACTGCCCACTGGAATGTTGTAAATTGGTGTCTTTTCTCTTTCAGTATTTTCCTCTTTGTTGATCTTCTCTAGTTACTTTACTTTAGTTGTACTTCAATACTGGGCAAACAATTATTACAATGAAAACTGGAAAATGAAAGATGAGAACAAATGATACATTGTCAATAGAGGCCAATCAGGTTTTATCCTTTCTTTTTATGGAAACATTGAACAAGAATTTTGATACATCACTATGGACAATAACATTTTTGCTTTGGGTTTAAATAAATCTGACCAAATCAAATATGTTGACCAACATGGTGTAAGAATTAAGTATGTCACCAGAGCAGTTTTAAATGTAACGATGTAAACATAGTAATTATTATGTATCAAATTGGAAACATTATGTTGTGTAGAAAGCACTGTCCCGTGGGATAGTTTTTCATGTTTCATATAATCTCTTGGGTAAAGGTCTCATATAAAGCAACAAAAAACAGATGCTAGACCATTCAACAATCAGTTGTTCACAGCAGTTCTACCTATTCACTTATCTGTAGGATCATTTTGTGACTTCATTATTCTGGCTTTGAAATGCTTTTACATCTAATGTGTTTTTATTATGTTGTTCCTTATAAGGAGAACCAAATATATATATATATATATATATATATATATATATATATATACACACAATTATAGCATACAAAGTAAAAGTAGTGAATCCAATAAAGATCATTATACTGATTACATAGCTCCCAACTGTCCCTGCTTTTGAGAAATTTTCCTAATTTGGAACAAAGCCCCACTATCCCTCCTTCCTCTTCATTTTTCCCTCATTTTGGTCTGATGTATTAAAAATGCACTATTTATCTAAACAAAAAGTGTTTTACAGTGCTAAACCTTTCATCCAATTTAAAAATGGTTGCATTTGTATATTTAAAAAAGCAATATAAACGCATAGTAGAGGTAAAAAAGCATGATCTTCGTGATGTGAGGAAGGGGCAAGTCCCTGAAACATGTTATCATGATGACTGCCTTTTCTACTTTGGTTTGACATGGTTTGGGTGCTCCCCTAGGCTTCCAGTTTGCCCTTACCAGCCCTTGTTCAAATGTTTTTTCGCCAGGTGTAAGACATTACAACTGGATTTGGGACATGTGACTTTCGACGGACAAACCACCTTAGTGATCCCGGTGGCTACCATCCACACACTCCTCACATTGTCCTTAGGCTCCTGGGCTGAGCAACCTACTGTTGGGTCCAGGATCATATGTCATCCTCCAGCTTCTGGGAATATGTGTTTCTTCTCTCCACTGGCTTGGTGATGCATCATTCTGGACACTCCTAGATGTCATGCTTTTTAACCCAACATTAAAGTGACTTTTGATTTTATCTGTTCCTGGCAGGCCCGAACTGGCCATAGGGCACACCGGGCTGTGTCTTTGTTGGATGACTGTCTCTTTGCTGGATGGGCTGTCTCTTTGCTGAATGAGCTGTCTCTTTGTTGGACAGGCTGTCTCTTTGCCGATGTGGCTGTCTCTTTGCTGGATGGGCTGTCTCTTTGCTGGACAGGCTGTCTCTTTGCTGGATGGCGATGTCTCTTTACTGGATGGTGATGTCTCTTTGCTGGACTGGGCTGTCTCTTTGCCCAGTTGGGTCCAGCAAAGAGACATCCTAATCCAGCAAAGAGAGAGCCCAGTCCAAGAAGGGACATCCCCATCCAGCAAAGAGACATCCCTATCCAGTAAAGAGACATTCCCCCTCTTTGTGGATTGGGATGTCTCTTTGCTATATGGGGATGTCTCTTTGCTGGACTGGGCTATCTTTTGCCTATATGGGGATGTCTCTTTGCTGGATTGGGCCATATTTTTGAATATATAGGGGGCACTGTGATTAGATATCCAGGGGCACTGTGATATAAAAGAGACTGAAGTGTGCCCTTTTACAGTGCAGCCCCCTTTAGATCACAGTGCCCCTTTATATTACAGTGCAGAGGACCGTCTCCATGAATATTCCATCACCAACTGCCCCCCACAAATGCCTTTGCACCCCCCCCCCAAAGAAATTGGCTGCTCAGTCTAAAATGCTCGGGCCTATTTTTTGTCCCAGTCCGGACCTGGTACCTGGGATTGTGATTCTACTGGCTTCCACAGGGTTTGGAGTGCTCCTTTATTTGTTGTTTTATGCTCATGCCTCATTGCTGGTCAGATGAGTTGTTGGATCTGCCCATACTGTTATCAACGTATCCCCTGGAACCTCACTGCACTTCGTATTTACACCTTTTTTTGAGCAGAGACAAAGACTGCAAAAAAAATCTAACAGGCGTTATAGGAGTTTCAAGGTTAGTGTGAATGAGCACTTATGTTGCATTTATCTCAAATTGTAATTTGACGTCCATTTACAGCGGAGATACAGATAAGATCCCTGCTTTCTTAGGCTCCATGCACACTGGCTTATAAATTGCTGCTTCTACAGGAGTTTTGTGGTTTTCCTGTAGAAGCAGCTCAATGTTATCTTATGTATCCATGCACATTAGGATGATTAGAGGCATATTTTAACCTCATTGTTTACAGACAGGAAAAAAACCCCTTCTGGTTCGCATTTTTGATTGGAGCTTTCTGGCAGAAAAAAACCCCAAACTTTCCTAAACCCCCCTAAACTGTGTACAAAACACTCTATATCAGCGTTTTTATTTCTGCCAAGGGAACTGGTGTTTTGTTAAGCCCAGTGTGCATGGAGCCTTAGGCCCCATGTACACGGGACGTTTGGAAAACAATTCTGAACGATGGAAACTGACTGCTGGAAAACGTAGGTTAAAAAAAGTCTGTTTAGCCGTGTTTGCATACCGCGTATATGCGCGTTTGAGTTTCGAAGCGTTTTTAAAAGATAACATCAGGAGACCTTCCAAAATGCCCAGAATGCACAGAAGAACAGTAAAAAATTAACTATTTTAGACATTTCGAGAGAAATAAAGAGAGCAGAAGCAGAGGAAGCAGTATGTGTTGAGATTACCTATCTTTTCTGGTTGTAGTCACTATGGTTCCCATCATGAACATAATGCAGCACGTTCTACCATTTTTTCCTTCACACAAAACCTGGAACTGACTGCACTGGTGTGCTAGGTCCATTTGAATACATGGAAATCATTTTGAATTCATGGAAAACGCTCATCTGATGATGAAAAAAGGCTCTGGACAGCATTTGGATATGGAACACTTAAAAAACGCTTCTAAACGCAAATGCTTGTAAATGCGGTTAGCCACATTTACACATGTTTACAAGCTTTTGCCATTTGAAACGCTGATAAAATCTACTCCTGAATGCAAGTTTGGTGCGTTAAAAAAAAACGACTGTAAACTCAACTGCCTGTAAACGACTGTAAACGACATAGTGTACATGGACACATAGGACAATATTAGGGAGAGTTCAGGGGCTGCTGAAAAAACACAGAAAAGTTCCTGAACGTGAGTTTATCAGCTGCAGTGTACATGAACCCTTAAAGTCATAAACTGTTGTAAAAGGCAGAAAATTATTTGCTCTGTCTGGAGGAGCTATTTTTCTGTGATTTCAAGATGGGTGACACCTTGGATAACGTGATATCTACTGAAAGGGGGATCAATCTGAATTCTGATTTTGGCTGTTAACAAGGATTGTGTGAAAAAATCTGAAGCTGTTTGGTCATATGACCAGGGTGGCAAGTGAAAATGGATTTATTTTAGGAATGGGTCCAGCTGGCCATAGATTGTTAATTTTTGCATTCAGGCAACTGGCTGAGCACTAAAAAAAAAAAACAGATTCCTCCATTCACACAATCCCTCTACCAGGCCATTGTATTTTGAGAGCGGGGCCTGCCACTATCAGGATACACTGATTGAAAACATTTTCCAGCATGTCCCTTCCCTGAGCAAGAATAGCCACACACTGAACAAAATTTGTCCAGTCTCTGCAGAACCAGTGACATTTTGATCAGAATATAGCCAGATTTAGTGAATGGAGCATGTAATACTCTATATCTTATATGCAAAGGTGATGACTTCACTGCCCTAACTCAGAGTGTTTTCGTGTTTCTGGAAAGAGAAGTTAGACTTTATGCTGTATCTAAACTAAAATGAGAAGAGTAACAGAAAGCAAAACACGGTACCGTATTTTTCGCCGTATAAGACGCACTTTTTCTTCCCCAAAACTGGGGGGGAAATGTCAGTGCGTCTTATGGGGCGAATATGGAGCGGCCGGTCCGGTATTTCCACCGCGGCCGTGTCAGAATACCGGGCCGGCCTCTCAGCTCTGCAGCGGGACCTTACCTGTTCCTCTATCCAGCAGCGTGCTGTCTTCCCGGCTTCTGTAGTGTGGGCACTGGGCATGACAGCCGGGTGCCAAGTGCGCATGCGCAAGAAGCGGTGCTTTTTGTGAATGGTAAGGCGGTACCTGGGACACATGAGAGATCCCAGAAGCCGCCGGACCAATCACAAAGCGCAAGTGCTTCTCGCTCATGCGCACTGGGCACCCGGCTGTCATGCCGAGCGCCATTACAGAAGCCGGGAAGACAGCGCGCGGCTGGATCGAGGAACAGGTAAGATCAAACAAAATCTCCGCGGAAGTAAGAGCGGGTACCTGTCAAATTCAGGTACCCGCTCCCCACCTCCCCAAAGGTCAGCAGTCATCTGTACTGTCCGCAGTCT